AGTTAAGACCTTGCTGTTTGCACGCAGCAGAGGGCCTACTACTAAATGAAGGGATGGCAGTTGATTGGCTTAAAGTCATGTTTATCTTTAAGCAAATAGGAGCGACTTCATTCCCTACGAGATTACAGTACGTGTCCTGTGATTGGCTTACTCAGATAATACAGCTTAAAACAGTAGAGTTTATTTTATGAAATGATTTGTAATAAAAATGGTGTATAATGCTAGACACAATCATGCACTTTTCTACTTGTTACATTCTCAGTTATAGGTGAGCAGATTAAGTGATTTCATTCTGGGTGATTTTCATTAGCTTTGTCAAAGCATGAAAATTTTTATTATTTATCCATCGTTTCGAAATGTTGTCGTAATTATGATTTTTTTTGGTAGGAATTATTTTGGATGTGTACATGTACTGTATGTGGTGTGTCAATCGAAGATATTTTGGAATGTGTTCTCTGTGTGGTGATACCTGTTTTTCTTTTGTACTCTCAAATTCACTATCGCCTTTGGAAATAAATTCAGCTGTATGTCTCGTCTAGCCACTTGGTCACCTGTTCTGAGGACAGGCAGAAAAAATTTGGATAGGCAGATGGCGTGTTCAAGATTCACTAGTCCCAATTTGACGTAAATTTTGAACACTGGTGATCAAGTCTTCACATTTCCTTCCTAAATTCTGGATGTTGTGGAAATACATGTATACTTCTTCAGGTAGCAGCAAAGAGGTGTCAGTTTCAACAGTTTTCCTGGAAGAAGCTGGGAATGGACAGAGATCCTGCAGTCCTAACCCTGATTCAGCTGTTGTATACATTGCAGGAAAGCTTTTTAAGAAGAACTTTTGAGAAACATTGGGGACATTTTTCGTGAAGCAGTACACCTGTGCATGACTCTGTTACAAAGTCACAATGCCAGTATCAATTTGTTCAGTTTGGATGAAAGTTGAATTTGGATGAAGCGGAAACAGAGAGGGCATACAATACCGTGGATGTCAAATTCTTCTGCAGTGCTTATTGAAGTTAAGAGAACTGCATTTATTTAACATACTATATGTCCAAATATTTATATGAGCCCAATTTCTTGGCTTTACTGACTTGAAGCAATGAATCTGTGGTTACACTAAAAGAGAGTTATGCACGGATTCATTCTTGGTGCCATGGGCAGAAATCCCAGGGTGACAGGGGGGGACACACCCCCCCATGAATTTGGTACGGGGAACACAATGTGGAATGTCCCCTCCATATTTTAAGCAAAACAAAATACTAAAGGAATTGATGGATGGTGAATTTTCCCTTTTATGGAATAAGATAATAAACATGGTGTGCATAAAAAAAGTGTAAATGAATGTCCCCCCCCACAATCGAGGAGTGATTTCCGCCCATGCTTGGTACGAAAGTGAAGATGAATTTGAAATTTGTGGCATGTTGAACGAAACATTCAGGCTGTGAATTTGCAAAATTTAACACATTTCAACTTAAGCCAATTTACATATATGATGACAAATTTGCTTCACTTTCGCATTTGCCTGACTATGAACCAGCCTTTAGAGTATTTCACTGGTTAGCAAAGAATTGGGGCATATTGCATATATCCCCCAACTAACAGTGTCCTTGTGGAATAGTACAGAATTTCTTTGCCAGTGCTTGAAGGCAAAGAATGGTGCATTGAGTGTTGTGCTTGGCACTTGGACAGAGCCATAACATTAGGCCCTCACACTACTGGGTAGTTTTGTCCAGGCTCTGATCATTACTGCTTATCATCATACCTGCAGATTCTGATGCCGATTCTAAGCAACCTGATGAGTCCAAGCCATCTAGCATAGCAGAGAGGGCCCGGCTGTTCTCAGCAGAGGACCCCAGAGTTGGTGCCCATTGCCAGCACATTCATTCTCCTGCTGGCGCTGGTTCCCTGGCTGCAAGAGCATGGGGCGAGTGTGGAGACCAGGGAGATGCTGAAGACGGTTTCTCCGGTGGTAAGCAGGAATGTTTCAAACTCTTTTAATTTCACAAGTTTAGTGTTGAGCCATGGCTTCTTCTTGCAGACAGCTTGTGCATGTCGAGAGGCTTTGTTTTGTTTGTCTTCACATATCAGTCATTTTGACCATGCTTGCTTTTTACATTGTGACATATCTGTACCTATCTGGGTGAATCATTATAAAACCCTAATCTTTTTCTCCCTTAGCCTGGTTGGGGATTGGTTTGTCACAAATAACTATTGTTTACTTACAGATCTATTAGGACATCTTCATACCAGTGCATGTAAGTTGAAGTCTCAAAACATTAAAGAGAGAAATCTGATGGATGCCATGGTTGGCTTGTGCTCAAAGAACTTGCTTAATTCTTTCCACTGTGTCCTGTGGTTTGATTCCCGGACTGAGCCATTTATTTGTTTGTTGGTTCTCTCCTCTGTCATGAGAGTTTTTCTAGTGTCTCCAGTTTTCTTCCCTCTTCAAAAAATCGACACCTACAGTCTCACACTGTTGTCCATGGGTCACTGGCAGCTGCCTGAGGTGTCCTTGTATATCTTTGGCCCAGTCGTAATGTAGCTCAATGTAGGCCTATTGTTGAAAAGTGCGTCAAAATATACACGTAATTGCATGGAATTTGTGATTAAAAAAGAAAGAATTGTAAATTATTATCACAACCTGTAAAAAGTTGCTAGCGTATCAATGGTACTAAGTAGTATAACAGCTATCCCAATATTTGTAAAAACAATTGAAGTTGCAAAGGACTGGTAGGCCTTATTTTGAAACAAGCAGGGCTCAGAGGGTTTGTACAGTATGTTCATCTACATGTACTTCCTTGATTGTCTGTCAGATCCTTGACCAGCACTACCATTTCCATGAATTCCGACTCCACATTTTCAGACGTGGGTTCCCCCAATATTTTTGTAGCTTACAGTGTACGTAGGCCTGCGTTGTAGTTCCCACCTGTTTGCACTTCCTGCTTAGCTTATGAGCCTGATTTAATTTTCAACGATTTTTACTGACAAATTGACATAATCTGATAATTTTTGCCAGTTGGTCCATGGATGCAGTATCTTTGCTGACACAATTGTTGACATGGATCATTTCAGATATGTGGGAAATGGTGATTTTTAGTTTTGTGTGTGTATTTTGGGGGGTTTTCTTATGAAAATTGCCGGGATGGCAAATTCTCAAAAGAATAATCCCCCTCCCCCAAAAAAACAATTCAGACTTGTTCTTAATTTGACTATTTCATTTTCCATGAGTGAATGATGATATAAATATCTGGTGTTGTCTTTACTTAACCTGAACAAAACCCACAAGTGATGAGATACTCTTCAAGCTTATAAAATGACAGATTGTAGTAGACTTGAGGAGGTCAGATACATGTACATGCATTGTATGTATATGTATGCATGGGCCCCGTGTACATGTACATGCAGAACAAGGAAGTGACATGTACAAACGAAATTTTCCATTTCAGTATGAACTGAATTGTGTTTATTTCACTTTGAATTAAACTTTTTCCAGACTGCTAGGTATCTCAATGAAATGATCACTTTGTTGTGTAGCTACATTATGGCATCATTGACACTGAGTTTGAGTTCTTTGTGGAATATTGTCTGTGGGTTAGGCACATTCCAAAGATCCTTTACAATATTCTTTTTCCTTGTTAGTACAAAAGGCATTGTACACACTTATCGTACATAAGTGTGTTTTTCTGTCCGGTCTTGACTGTCTTCTACTGTATCTACAGCCGAAGGTTACCCACGCATGTATAGTCACAGCACTGTACATGTTTTTGAATAAATGAATTAATTTATTCTGTTTGTCTGTTTGATCAAGTTCATTCAAGTGCAGACATCCTGTGCGTGCTTCACCTTATGTGAATCCACTTAACTTCATTCAGCATGAAGTGGAAACCATACTCTTGTGTATGCACGTTTTTGTTTTTTGCAAATGAATAATAGAAAAAAGTGGAAAAAATTCAAAGCTTTCAAAAATAATCTTTCCAATGAAACTGAATGGTTATTACTGTTCTGTGAAATTACACAGGTTGCAGCAGTAATATTTCTTCATTTCTTTGCTGATTTTTTTCCATAGTTGCACTGTACCAGTATGAATTCTTAATTTAGCTTAATATATACATACATGTATATATACTTTTACATATTGCTTATTTCGATTAAAACTAAACGTAACAGAGCATTATGGTGAAACCTTCACACAGGTTTGAAAATACTAGTTGTTTTTATTCCTTGTGTCCATAGATGCTTTTGAGCATTGGTTTATACATACATGTATACCCACATATTAGTACATTGTAGTCACATGTTTTATATTGTACAATATTTGATGGTTGTATTTGTCAATGGAGCTATTTTACGGTCAGGGACTGTGCCAGAGTAGAGTCATTTGCTAAAAGGTTTCACCTCAGAAGCTTTGGTTGTTTCTGGTGGCAGTAACATGAACAAACATGAAGCAGAATGCTGATTTGTTCATTGTGGACACTGTGCCATTTAGCATCACACAAATAAGAAACGCCTATTTGGATTCCACTGGTTATGCATAGCCCCCTCTTGTGGTGAGTTGGTTTATGTATTTCCACCCCATGAGCACATGTAATAGAATGGGGAAGTATCCATAGTCTACATTCCGTTGTTGAAACATCCTGGATTGCTTTGCTTTCCCTTTGAGGAAAGATTTTCATTGAATAGTACGGCTGGACAAATTCTGTGAAATGAAGTCACTCTGAATTGTACGTGTGTATTGAGCAAGTGAAACGTGGATAATCAATGCAAGTGTTATTTAGGTCCAAAATGGCGCTTACATAAAGAGACACATTGCACCAATACGCTGATTTCAATGTTTAAGAAGGCACGAAGGAAGCAGTCCATTCCAGAGATGGTGGTTGCAATGCAAATGTTATCCAAATTTAATTTGCAAAAGGCTTATTTAATGAAGCCAGTTATTTCTAACAGCATGAGTTTCTCAGTTCAGTTTGCCACGTAAACAGTACAACTTCCATAATTGTACTATTCTTTGGCATGTACATGTATGATTCCACTCAAATACTTGCAAGTGAAACCAAATGTTGGAAGTGTATTTCTGTCTGTTCAACATGCATACCATACATGTAAAATAATCCTACATATTCAGGGTACAGTGAAGGAAGAGTGTATGGCACGCGGGTGTTCATGTTACAAAGATCCAATTCCTGGTTTAAGTTAATCCTAAAATTTCAGTTTCACAATTACCTGTAGTACAAAAAAGGCTCTGGTTTGCTTCATAGATCTCACTTCTATGACTGCAGTCGAATGAAGATGTCATGGCCATAATAAGTACTTGTTGAGATTGTACATGTACGTGTGTGTTTGAATTTACTGCTGAGGACATCATCAAATTTTTGAATTCCTGTAAGAGTGTGTCCCCTTGGAGCCATTTCTTGTGTTCTTACAGTGTCTTGTATGTTAAACATCTTTCTGTGCTTTGCATTTATGTCTGTTTGCATGACTAACCAAAACCTTTGTTCGTGCATGCTTGTATTTGAATCTTAGAGCTCACCACCAGTAGGAAGGTTAGTAGTAGTAAGACTAGAAGGAATCAGCAAGGGCAGGGTACCAGTTCACCAGTGGCTCCCTCAGGTCTGCAGAAGATCATCCCAAGATGGTTTTGGAGAAATCGGTTCAAATCAGGGGATCAGAAGGACTGTAAGACCGAAGTTCAGTCTCGAGATATTGTATCATTTGGGAGTGTGGATATACATGACAGTAAGTCAGAAGACTTGTCTCCTGATGTGGGTCAGCCAGATGCTTCTGAGAAACTCACAAATGTATCGTCAGAGGTCCCTGGCTGCGTAGAGGTACTGATTCACTCATCGTCTCACCCAGAGGTGGTAGAAGACCCTACTCCAAAAGGTGGATCCTCAGAGAGAAATCTAGAAAAGGCAAAGAGGTTTGGAATGCTGGAAATTGTTGGATATCAGGGTCATTCTTCCCTACAAGCCACAATGTCAGAAAGTGCTTGGCTGTCCCAGCATCTTTGCAAGGTTCTACCAACTGAAGAAGCATCTACTGAATCTGACAACAAGGAGGCAGTCTTGCCATCACTCCACAGGCCAAATGAGAAAGCTAGCAGAGAAAGAAGAGTACCTAAACATCTGCCAGACCCTCCCTTCAAGGAAACATCCTTTCTGGATACTGTTGCTGAAGACGAGTCGTCACAACTGACACCACACCCAGTTATCCTCAAACAGGCACATCAAAAAGGTACCAAGCCTTTACCTTCTGCTCCCAGCCATGAGATTGGAAAGTCTGGGATTGGGGGAGCTGCAAATCAGTCACCTCAAGTCCATCGCCAGGAAAGAAATGAATCTGCATCATCCATTGAGAAAGTTAGTAAACCCCTACCCAAGGTCCCTGTCAAAGATACTCCTTTAGTAACTACTCACCTGAGGGCTGAAGAGCGAGTAACAGCAGTGTCCCAGCCTACGACGTGTCTTATTCCAAATGTGTCAGCTGAGAAAGTGGAAGTGATTCCCAGTGCTCCAGAGAGAGAAGGTCATGCCCCCAAATCTAGTTATCAGAAAAGGGAAGGTTCCTGTTCGCAGGTTTCTGTATCCGCAAAGAGGCAACACCCCCACTCAAAAGTTTTGAAGACCCTCCCAGAAGTTCTCCATGCTTGTGAGGGCAGTGTGGCTGACCCAGAGTCTGAGCATGCTGAAAAACCTCCTTGGTCCGAAAATGATCAGAAAATTCTGGGGCATAGCTGCCTTATCCCTAAGCTTGAAGAGGGGCTTGAGGCTAAGTCTGCAAACTCAGATACTCCAGTGAAGCCTCTTCCAGATATCCCTCCATCCAGTGTGAATTTTGCGGCTGTAGGGCTTAAGAAGGCAATAAAACCTTCAGTAGTTCCTCGTCAGGCAAGGCGACCTGCTGTTACACTTGTGGAAGGGCACCTCTTCAAACCCCTATCACGAGTCCTTGAGGAGGGAGCGAGAGAAGAGAGTCCAGCACTTCAAGCTTCTCCAAAACCACTGCCAAGAGTGCCCAAGCAGCAAAACCTTGAGATGGCATCACAGAAGAAAAGTCTCGGATCAACTGATGCAAGCTCCAAAGCATCTGACGAGAGTCAGGACATTGTGAATGAAGTCCCCTCTGTCAGCTCTGCCTCTGGTTCCTCTGAGCCTCTTGGTCTGGACTTTCCAGATGAAACCAAAGAGCAGACTGTTAAGGAACAACCCACAACCTCGGCTACCAGCAAGACAGTCAAAGCAGGTAGACATTCTGGATTAAAACGAGGCACTCAACCTTGCACATGAGCTCATTTATTTCTGTATCTTTAGTCATTTGTTTCCCATAATTTTCAGCAAATCTCTCATCATACCCTCTTATTTAGGGTTGAAGAATTTCATTCATATCACAGAAAAATCAGGAAAGTTTCTGTTCAAGAAGATGCACCTTTTGTTGTTCATTTTTTAATCACCTTGGTGTATAATTTGTTTCATGGATAACTCTAACAAACACTGTCATTCAGGAAGTTGATGGTAAAGATTATTTTTGTTGATACCATAGACCAATTAAAATCCCACTGTTTCCTTTGTCCCGTTGGTTCTTTACTCGTACTGTGGGGGTGAACTGTCTGAAAATTATAAGTGTTTATATGTTGTCTACGACTCTTAGGATACATACCTTGATAACAACTCCTTTTCTTGTAACTTTGATTTTCGAGAAGCTACTGTGAAGGACACTGAGAGATTTCTAAGTGTCTGTGAGGACACTTCGTTTGAGGATCAACTGATGACCTCAGAATCTGACCTCTGTAAGAAAATATATCCTTGCAAAATTGTGTGTGTGGAAAGATCATTGATACACCTTTGCAGAGCTACGTGTATTTATTCAAAAAAGCTGCATTACATTAAAAAAAGCCATAGATGCAGATATATAAATCTGTGTCAAATCAACGCTGACTGTACATATCAAATTGTATTTACAGTTTTCTGTTCTAACCCAGTTACTCACAGTAAAGTTATAGTATTGTTTCATGCAAAGTAAAAATCAGTTATTAACAGGTTTAATTTTAATAATGTGAGTCTAAAATCCACATTTTTATTTGTAACATCTTGCACATGTTTTTTTTTAGTTCATTTACATGTATGTCTTATTTTCTCTACACTGGAGTTGTACACGTTTGTGGGCAAGTTTTTGTTTATTAATTTCTTAATATAGGCTTAACAGTCAGGATGTCCTATTACCACACTTCAACCTTTCTGTAATTGACCTTTGATTCAATCTCGACAGAACCCAAATGTTCTGTCAAAATGTTCTTCAGTGGTTACATCCGTATATTGGCTGTTGTAGGAGCCACATAGTCAGGTTTAGCCATTGACTTACTGAATTGGATATATGTACATAATGTACCTATATGTATGATGTTTTAGTTTGGTAACCGTCCTTGATGAAGGAAAATTTTTCAGTACGTGTCCAATTAGTTTAATTGTCTATGACGAACTGTAATACCAGACATCTATCATAATGGGGTATAAAACTCTACAGTTAAAAAGACAGAAATTAATGCAGTTTTTGACATGTTACGAGTCACAGGTATAACTATGGATAACAACCTCTTTACAACCCACGAATAAACCAATCTTTCAGTTCATTTATTTGTTACTTTTTAGGAATACTGGAATTTGGAATGTTTGAGTTCCATTCATAATACGAAGATCAAAGCATTTTTTTTGCACCATATTCCAACTTTTTGGTTACTGATGCATTCCATAAATATTTGTTTTCATATGAGAACACATTGGTCCCCTAAGAATGCCCAACTTTCCCTCTCTGGTGAACGTCCAAACCTTCTAAATTGCAAGCCTCCTGACATATATTTGCAAAGCAATTTTGGTTGCTCATGCCTGCTAATGCCCATTTTCATTTTGTTTGCTTTCTGCCAACTTTTATTTCCATTGCATGCTTTCACAGGGAAAAAACAAACAAGCGATGTTGCAGAGCCTAAGTTAGAAGCAAATGTTGTGGATGCCAAAAGAGGGAGCAATAGTAGTTCAACTTCTCGAGGCATTTTGGAAGTATTTTGTGATAACTGGGACTCTGATCATGAAAGTGGATCGTACAATTTTTTGGCAGGTAGGAAAAATTTGTTGGCAGGCTGTCGAGCCTTTAGTCAGGATTCTAGTGGCCTTGTAAAGAGAAACGGAACAGCTTGTATAGAAAGTCGCGAGCGCTCTCCTGTATTATTAAATTGCATGTGCATTCTCAACATCCTGTACATAAGCAAGTGGTGTCTGCTTTTTCATTTAAACTGAACATGTGGTCTACATGAAGGTATAAAATCGACATCCTATAGTTCTTTTCCGTTAACCGTTTCCTGATACTAAGTACCGTGTAATGATAGTTTAACCCGAAAAGAAAGAAGTTTTTCTTTGTGAGTACTTGTGCTTTTGTCAACACAGCTGCATGTTTGTAATTGATCCACTGCCTCTCATTTAAGAAAAAACAAAAATTAAAAAAACTAAACCACATTCTGGTTTTCCATCTTTAGGGTCAGACACCGAGGGCGCTTCGACCCTCGAGAAAACGGTCATCCCGCTGCGGCAGAACAAACTGCTTCAGCTAGAAGATCAGGACAAGGCAGCGAGTAACCGGGGCCAAGTTAGACGGACCAGCTCCACAGACGAGTTACCTGTTGTCTCGGTGTCCTTTACCAACACCCGGGGGTTGTTCCAAAAAGCCCAGCTCATGAACTCCTGTGATTCATTGGATTCAAGTAAGCAAGTTGTCTCATCATCGTTATCAACATCACTTGGTAGACGTAATGATTCTATCTCTACATATGTTTGGGTGACCTCCTGTAAATGTGGACGCATCTTTCCTGACCTTACAGTTTTAATTTCAGTTTCACATGTTTCAGTAGCTTTCCCTGCGTGCATTCATGGTTACATATTTGTTACTTCCTGGTTCGTGTACCTTGAAATGACAATGTTAAACCTTTTTCTAATGTCATGAACTAAAGCCTTTTTAAAAGTGAACACAAACTTCATAGAATTGAAAAATGTAGGACATTCAACCAAGACAGTCACAGATTTTGAACTATATTAATTGCAAGTTGTTTGGTCGGTGTTGAATTTCCCCCATGGCTGTTCTCATTTCTTGGAACTTGGTAAGCCTATAAAAAGTTTGGCATGTGCTGGCATATGTACCCCAGTGACTGCCCTAGAACATAGTTTTTGTCATGAGATTGAAAGCAAGGCTTAAATTCTTCAGAGGGAACATGTGGAGAATGTCATCCAGAAAGCTGAGACAAATTATTCAGCTATCACATAGAAAAATGGGCTTTTCCTCATGTCAATGTTAAAATGCATATTCACGAATGCTGTGTGAATTGGGTTTTGTCTGTCTTTTTGAGGCTAACAAAGCCCTTCGTCTCTGTGAAGTCTACATAAATTCTCTTTATTAATGTACAACAATTTCAGTCAGACTTCCCAGTAAAAACAAATTACTGAAGTTATTCCTAGGTTGAGAGAACTTGGTAAGCTGTAACTATGTACAGTGGACAAGCGCTGATCAGTAAATAGACAGACCGGATTACCTCCAAATGATATTTGCATGCAAACCATATAAAGGGGAAGTTGATGCTGAAAATGGACGGCAGCAAGGCATACCATGATTCCATCATCTTCAGAGATTTGAAATGTCACATTCCTCTTGGATGCATTTCAGGGCGAAAGCTTTGCTCAGTGTCTGTGACCCAACTTGTTTTGCGCGGACTTCAAGGGTGGAGTCCCGGTATAGCTGATGTAGTGTACATGTATGTTGAGTAGTGGTGTTGGCATTCCTGTGATCGTGCATGCCCTTTGATGAAGGCTGTGTAAAATGTTAACTCGTGATAGCAACAAGATGTGCATGTGAAGTATGTACTTTACTGCCTGTAAAGCCGATCAGGGTACCGGTACATCATAATTGAACACCAGTTGAAGGTCCAAAGTTCAGCAAATGAATTTTATGTGTACATGTACACGTCAGTGTATTTAAGGACATGAGAGAAGATCAGAGTTTTATTTGATGCAACGTTATCCAGGAATCAAGGTAGGAAACATGCACACTTACATGTATCTCTACATTTGTTATCATTGGTTTGTTACTTTTAGATCAAATTCCAAATTGAATTCTTGGATGTCTGTGAAGAGTGTAATTTCATTTGTTTTTTCACAGTGCAGTTTCTAATAAAGGCCTGTAAAAAATTAGTTTAGCACCTCTGCCAACCTCCCATAAGCCATTTGTCTCTTTCTAGTTTGGGGAGGGGGGGGTTGTTAAACATATCAGAGAAAGAAAGTTTGGAAATTTGCCAGAGGCTCCACATTTCTTCAAGCAGATGTGATCTGAAATTCTATTCATATACCTGATCACAGTGCTTCCAATCCGAGGATGGAGATTTTAGGGGAGGCAGAACTTTTTTTGTGGGGCCAAAAATTTGAAATCTCTTTTTACGTTTATGGCCTTTCTGAGGGATGAGGCTACATTTTGGGGCTTTTGACATGCTATTGGAAGGAAGGATGGAAGTGAAATTGACCCCAATAATTGCTTATTTTTTTCTGATTAAAAAATTGTTCTTTCTTAGGGAAAGGGCTTGATATACAATGCATACACACATCCAAGTACAATGGAACAAAACGCCTGTATAACAAACACATTGTCCTCATAGCATTGTTTGGTGTAACAGTCATACTGGCATAGATGTAAACACCCGTTCTGAACTCCAGCCCAAATTCAAACATGTATCCATTGTGTCTTGTAGTAACAGGTTACCTGTAGATTATAAAGACACATGCGTACAGACAGGTTGACGTTAACACATAGGGAAACCAAAGGGGTTCCTAATTGGAATGTGTGGGTGAAGTTACTGCATGATTGGAAATTACAGTGTTTGGCCATATTATGTACTAATTCACTTAGGTCGGGTCTAGGTTGTTAGTTTGATTTGCTTTTTTAGAGTACTAAATTGTGATGTCATTTTGAACCAGAAAGTTATGCACTTTGGTACTTCATATTGTACACCGTAGTGTGAGACTGAGTAGCACTGTGTCTCTTGTCTCAATTTTACACTTGTTGCTTAGTTACTGAGTCTGTGAAATACTAGTTTGTGTGTCTTCCATGTACAATATGTCAACAGTTATGGAGGTGGTTGGTTGCATGTGCATTGACACGTGGTTTGAAAACATCAATCTAAAGATAATATTTCTTTCACTTGTCTCTGTTTAAGGGGCATGATTTTTATTACACAACTGTCTTAGGTAGGATGCATCATGTAGTTTGCTTTGGGTAATTTCATTTTCCAGTCTTGAAATGAGACTATAGTTTTCACCCCTCATGGATGCCTCCTCTGTTGACATGTCAGGCTTGGTTCCACATGGGAAAAATCCTCCAGAACCGTGATTAGAGCCTTTATTCAAGTTTTCCAAGCATGTTTAAAAGAAATCATATTTGGCATGTTTGACTAGTTAATAGCGCCCTCACTTGTTAGTGTGCAAAACCAATGGCTTGACCAAACTCCATGCATCTGTGTATTATTTGCCATTTCTAGTGACAAGAAAAGAATTGCACATGAAAACCGACTTCCTATTATAATTGCACTCAATAAAGGTGATCAACTACTCTGCTTCAAATAGACAGATTCTTGTTTCATGGCAATTATTTCAAATGAGACTTTTTAAACAAAATCTTATCTATCAGCCCAATTCTTACAGCATTGCAAAGGTTGAAAAATCCTCCTTACACTTTTGGCCAGTGAGCCCGTCCCCTTTTTGCTGTCAGTTTCTGGCCCTTTGATGTCTCATTTCCACTTTGTTATTACCTCAACGGAGTCCACAGTATATCCCTGTCCAGATGAAGACAGAGACTTGTTGGGCTGAGGGGCAGCTAAATTCCGTCTTGTTAGCTTGAGGATTAGGAATTTATGACTAATGCATATAGCAGACAATGAAAGATCCTTGTGCATGTACGCGCTCACACTATACCCTGAATCATACAGTGTGTAGTGTTGTCTCAAACCATTACTGTGCGTACAGCAGCCTGGAGAGGTTGAGGTAGGGTTAAGAGCCGTGTGCGTTCCAAACTCAGCCCACTCATTTTTGTTGTAATCCTCAAAACGCTTGGATTTATGATTCGATGGCATCCAGGATGGCACAGACCAGGGTCAGGTATCCTGCATGTAAGTACACGTATATTGCAGAAAATGTACTTGGGGTGTAAGGACCTAATTATTATTCAGATTTTTAATCTATCTGTGAGGGTGGGTGTGACTTTTTATTTGATCACTGAGTCACATGTTTGGCCTTGAATCATAGGTGTAGCATGCAGTATGTGATTTAAAAACGGCATTTCTTAAAATAGATCTGAGTCTTGGGTCCATGCCGAGTTTCTGCAGTTCCTACGAAGGAGGTCACGCTAGATGTGGAAAGGATTTTTGTTGGTTTGGTCAAAATTGAGACAATTTTTTTTTAATTTTAAGACTATTTATTAAAGACTGCTTATTTTCAATGTGTGAAACATCTGTAGATGGTCTTTAGATTCAAGAAACACAGAACTGGCCATTTTTTCATATTGTCATGTGTTTGAAAAATTGGAGTGGGAAAAATATTCCCTAGAAGATTTTATTGGGTCATTTATGTCCAATGTGAGCAAGCCATTCTTAATGCTTTATCAGGGCAGATTTCCTGTCACTTTCATCAAACTTAATTTCTTTTGCAGAAAATGGTGAGAACACATTTTTTCTATATTTATTCAAATTATTCTTGTTTTAACAAATGAGTTTGGTCTTAATTAAACAATTTTATAAACTAGCTTTTTTAAGGCAATGGTTACATTGCCTGACCTTGTTTGCTGATACTTTTATGCCCCAAGTAAACATGCTTTCACTCATTTAACAGATTTAAATTCATAGCTAGACATGTTGCAGGAAATGACAAACTTATAAAACAAATTGCTGCAGATAACTTGCAGACTAAGTCAAATCATTCCTTTGGTTTTGTGGAATCAGTTGTCGATAGGTCAATGTACATGTAGACATGTACATGTAACAGAAGCATGTGGTCTACTTGCATGTACTAGGCAGAAAAAACTGTCACAGGTCAGTTTAAACTACCATGGTTTGTCCAGTGTTTTCACCATGGGGGATGGCTCTTGACATACAAAAATCTGCTGAGCCAGTTTGTCTACCGGATGCTACAACTGAATTCTGTATCAAATTGCAAATTCGATGAATTTCTTTCATTTTCTGGTTAATTGGGAATTGGGCTAGGAAATGCGCCGCTGCATTTAGAGATTATTACATGTAGCTATGGAAGCATTGTCAAGTTCCTCTTTCAGTTTGGAGAAAAAAAGTCTCCATAACCCAGGTCTACCAAGTTTTGGAAGCATGAAAATATTTCACATGTAGCTTTGCATTCTTGGAATGTTGTTGAAGTGTCATGTAGAAGAATGAGTGCTAAACTGACATTGATCTAGTTATCATTTGTGACCCGCTCCAGGAAAAGGTGATATACCGGTAAGTTGCAAAAAGAAAATCAAGTTATATACATGACTGGAAAGCCCACATTGTAAGCTTTCATTTGATATATGATAGAGCTCCGTAGCCTTTCCCGTTTTAGAGTTATGACAGATTTGCATATTAATTAGTTCCAGGCAATTGAAATTGCAAAACAGAGAAAACAGGCTTTGAAATATCTGGCTCTGACGTGGGTTGTAGGCATTTAAATCTTACTTAGCATC